ACAAGTTAAAAATGAAGTGGGAAACTTGAATTGAAAAAATTCTTGTTTTTTGTGTGCTTGTGTTGAATTTTCAGATAAAATCGATTTTATATAATTTGTTGATACATGTTTGAAGGCTTGAGTCAAGGCGTGGAAACTATCCCAAATATCCCATTTATCCCATATATCCCAAAAATATTCAAAAAAATCCCTGAGCCTGTATGCATTAGAATTGAGATATCCCAACGTATCCTTAGTATATTGGACGTGTAATTTCAGGATATGAGTAGAGAGGCTTATAGAACTTTGCAAACTTTTTTAAACGGTATTTTCGTATTTTTGTTCACTGAACAATTAGTTCGTTCAGTATAGAAAATAATTCAAAAATTTAAGTTCCGTTAAAGAGTTTATAACTGTTTATAACTATTGAATTTGTTTGCAGATCTTTATGATTTATATAAGTAATAAAGTAAGTGTGAAGTCAATTGTCATACTGTATGCTAAGAATTTAAGATTGTAATCTCAAAAAATAATGAATAAATGAGATTTAAAAAAAACCGTAGTTTGAAAACGTTGACATGTTGAATCATTTCCAACAACTCGGCATTTAGTTCTACATATTTTACTCAAACAGTACATAAAAAGTAAGTTTTTTATGTCAAAAACTCTTGAATTTGTACTTCATCTGAATTTACTCTTTAATTTTCAATCCATACAAAAAAATTCAACCTTTATAGCAACTTGATAAATTTCTGGCTACGCATCTGATTACCCAACTTTCTTCCTACGATAAAAATCGAACAACATTGAACATTGAACACTTTCCTGGAAAATGAAATTGATTTACTGTTTTAAATTGATTTAATTAATTTTTATATTATAATGTACTGGTATCATATTTTATGTAACCAAAATCGCCGTCAATGAAAAAATCGACTTAAATGTACAATTTTTTGGATGATCCAATAGACGTCGATTTTTCATCCATTACATTCGTTTTTCTTGAGCCGCTATATACTTCACAAGTGCAATCAGAAATCACTTATATAAGGCACAGCCAAATTTTCATACAAAGTGTGATTAATTAATTAAATTAATTACAATCGAATCATTCATTTAAATGAAGACTTCGACTCTTTTTTTCAAAGACAAAATCCTTAATTATTTTTTTTGGATTTTGTCTACAAATTATAGTATAATTAACAAAAAATATTTTCATGTAAAAAAAATTCAAAATTTTTCCGTTAATCGGTTTTTATATTGTAACGGTCAAAAAAAATTTGATTTTGGTTCAAAAAAATAATCGACGTGAAATCGACGTAAAATCGACTAAAAATCGTCCCTTTTCATATTAGCATAATGTCCAATGTACGATACATGAAATGTACATATGGAACATACATGGAAGATTTTGATGTAATACATAAAATCTTCCATTCGTCGACTTATGGTTACGTGGGTATTTTATGGTTCCACAAAGTTTTTCTATGACAGTACAGAAAGAACTGCTTAATAACATAAAAAAAATGTTGGCTTGAATTTTTTAGCAACAAATTATAATTATAGACCATATGAACTGCAAGTTTTTCATAAAATCAATTCAAACTCAATAATTGCATTTAATTGTATCTTTCTAGCATAGTTATTTTGATTAGCAGTTTAAAATGGTTCTTTAGAAAGTGCAGACGTAGAATCTCTAGCTTAAATAAACTTAGCATTCTTTAGAACTCTACGAAATCGATAAAATGCTTTTTTTGGTATCAAAAATATTTCATATCTCTAAATTTTCTACAGTTCTTGAGATTTACAAAAAAATGGTTCAATTTCTTAATTGGACATTTGGTTTGATTGGATGTGACATTCTATCCATTGATTTTAAATATATGAAACCATGAAAATTTCATTGTGGACATAAAGTCAAGAGACTGCTCTGAAAGTTTCAGGAAGTGGTTGATATTCGCTTGCAACGGTATTTTCATCGTGATAATTTTATTCTCAATTGGTGGTCCTTTGGTATTTATCTATCCAGCTGTTGTCTATTTCTTTACTGGCAAACGGACTTTACATTTTGGATTCATTTTACCATTTATCGATCCCGATACATTTATTGGATATTCTTTAAACGTTTTGCATCACATTTTGCAGTTCTACATTACAATTAATGCATTATTTGCAACTTTAAACATAACAATACTAATTATTGTTGTTGCATTGGCAAAGTATGAAACATTGTATGTTCAAATTGATCAGTTAAATGCGAGTGCCTATTAAAATAACGAATTTTAAAATTTCGAAACTTCATTTTTACGAACACTTCATTTTTACGAAAAATTATTTTTTCGACTTTTTTTTATAAAATTCAAATTCTGAAATGTCGTTAATTTCATCACGTGTTCTTTTCAATAATAAATCTGCAAAAATAAGATTAATAGAACAAATGTTTTTAAATGTATGGAATTAAAACGTATTTTTTTTTCAAAATCACATTTGTTTTTTTCCATGTTTATGTTTAAAGGAAAGAATTTGTGTCTATCGAAATGGATATTGACAAATGTTTGGCTGGAAAGCCACAAAAGCATAGAATGCCAGGTTTTGAAAAGACAGAGCATTCCATTAAATCAATCCTGAACCGTCGAAAATCCGTGCCACGAGTTGAAACATTAAAGGCTATTGCAGGAGTCAAAAATGATTTAAGAGCTTAATTGTGTTTGTTACTCCTTTAAACATATACATGTAGTCCATGAAATGTGATATTGAATAAAAAATACGTTTTAATTCTATACATTTAAAAACATTTGTTCTATTAATCTTTTTTACTGCGATTTATTAGTAAAGAGAACACGTGATGAAATTAACGATATTTTAGAATTTAAAATTTATAAAAAAGTCGAAAAAATAATTTTTCGTAAAAATGATATGGTCGTAAAAATGTGAGTTCGTAAAAATGAAGTTTCGAAATTTTAAAATTCGTTATTTTAATAGGCACTCGTTAAATGCATTTATTTTGCCAAATGTTAAGGATCAAAAGAAAATTAAGAAAAAATTCGAGGAAATAATTTTAGAACATGTCAAGTTGCTGGATTATTTAACATTTTTCAACAAAGTGTTTTCGTCGTACTATCTTGTTGAGATTTTCAGCATTGGATTTCAAACTACAGTGACTTTATTTACATGCTCGGTTGATATTCATTTTCTGCCAGAATATCCAATCTTATTGGCTGATCTTTTTCAAATTTTTGCTCCATGTTTGTTGGGTACGATTCTTGAAGTTCAATGCAATAAATATTTTGAAAAGCTATTGGAACTATCATGGATTAAATTGCCCATAAAAATGAGGAAAACATTACTTTTTATGATGCTTCAAGCTCAACACAAAAAAAAATGTGTCTATAAAATGTGGAATGGTTGAATTGAATTTGAGAGCATTTTTGATGGTGAGAATTCGTTACAATACTTATTAACGAAACCGAGTTATCTAGGATAGAACATGAAGTTTTAAATAACAATGCCTTTTAAGGAAAACTTTCCAATTGTTATATTTACAGATATACAGAGGAATCTATTCATACTTTATGGTTCTTCAAAGTTTAAAATAAGTTTGTGAATTTGTTGTTTGCTAGACAAATGCGAATCTCTGAATGTTTTTGCTTCTTTTTTGTGTTGCCATGTTGCCAATCATAATTCTTTCACACAGCATCTTCTTATAAAGGAGCCAAATAGTGAAAATCATAAAACTTTGAAATTTTTGACTTCAAATAAGAACGCTTTATTTAGTATCTTAAATCTTTAAAATCATAAAATAATCAACAGGCAGTTCAAGTTTATTGGATCTTACATATTTTTCAATGACTTCAATCAAACTAATTCATGGATACTAATTCTTATGCTCGATATAATAACCTAAAACCGATTAATATCTACGTATAATATCTTAATTATTGCAATGGATTTCAATGTGAAATTATACTTTATGCAAAGAAAAAATTTAAAGGTATTGATATTATTTTTAACTGCTGAAGAATTTATGAAGAATTTAAAATGCATACACAAAATTTTTGTTAATCCTTTGAGGGTGAGAAGATTTTGCATTTTTTTTTTTTGGTTTTATATTGCCAACAGTTGATATTAATTATAAACGCTTTGCATCCCACTCTACAAACTTCCACAACTTGAAACTCTTTTGTTTATATGTAACATTAAGCATGGTTTAGAGTTAAACCAACCTAAAAACGTTGAATGTATTTCAAATCAAATTAAGGTTCTAAAGATTTATTTTTTTCCAATGTTAGCAAAGAGAACAGAGACCGTTACAAACAAAAAAAATTCAAAATTTTCGCGCAGTATTTTTTTAAAATTTCAAAATAAGAAAGTCCGTTACTTTTTATTTTTTTTAAACTAGCTATTTTTTTAAAGCATAAACATTTAAGGAATGCAATTTCATCACAGTGATTATCTTAATCATAAAAACTAGTAGGAATGTTCACTAAAATTACAAATTACTCGAAAAATAATAATTCACAACGAATTTTTTTAAAAACAAGAACTTCGAAGATTCGATTTTCGAAAAATAAGAACTTCGAAAATTTGAAGTTCGAACAATAAGAACTCAAAAATTTCTGTTTGCTAGCATTGGATTTTTTTGATTCAATGACGTTCGCTTACCAAAGCCACTAGTTAAATTCGTAAGAAACGTTCATCAATTAAATTGTTTTTCAAAAGTACATTTGAATATAATTAATATATTAACTATTGAACAATGAATTGAACACATTCAGGTTTCATTTCTAATAGAATACAAATTCCACAATACTGCTGCCATCATTGTACATGCGTTTCATATTAACAAGATATAAATCCAGCTAAATCCAATTAAATTGTTTTGAATTTTTCAGCAACGAATTATAATCATGGTGAAAAGAAACTTTGATGGACAGCAAGTTTAAAGTTGAAACAAATTCAAATCATTTTATAACACAGTTTTAAATGCATCTTTAAACTGAGTATTTACCGAACCCAACAAAATGATGCTTTTGATATCAAAAATATTCAAAATCTCAGAATTATCCACAACTCTTGAGATTTACAATAGTATTATAAGCTTTCTTAATTGGTCGTTTAGTTTTATTGGATGTGATATCTTTTCGAGTGATTTTAAGAGAACCAAACTTTGGATATTTGTTATCTTTTTGGATTTCATAACTTACATACCGATCAACATTTATGACGTATACTTATTCCGTGATGACTTTATTCGCGATATGTTCTGCTTGGTTACGTTAGGCAATGGATTTCAAGGTGGAATGAAGCTCTACACATTTATTCGAAAAAAAGATAGTTTATTGAAATTATTTACTATTGCTGAAGAGTTTATTGTGAATATTCGGTGCAGAGATTGCTCAAAAAGTTTTAAGAAATGGTTGATAGTCGCTTGCAATGCCATTTTTGTTGTCATTGTTCTATTCGCAATTGGTGGCACTCTGATATTAGTTTATCCAGCAATCGTGTATATCTTGACTGGTAAAAGAATATTACATTTCGGATTCATTTTACCTTTTATTAATCCAGATACAGTTAGTGGATATTTAATTAACGATTTGCATCACATTCTGCAATTTTACATCACAATTAATGGATTATTTACAACTTTAAACATGACAATACTAATTGTTGTTGTTGCATTAGCAAAATATGAAACACTTTGTGTTCTGATTGATCAACTAAATGATCTCATCATTTTAAATGTTCAGAATCAAAAGAAAATTAAGGAAATATTTGTGGAAATAGTTCAAGAACATGTCAAGTTGCTAGAATACTTAACATTTTTCAACGAAAACTTTTCTTTGTACTATCTTGTTGAGATATTTAGTGTTGGATTTCAAACAACAGTTACTTTATTTACATGCTCAGTTGATATACATTTTCTGCCAGGATATCCAATCTTAGTGGTTGATCTTTTTCAAATTTTTGCACCATGCTTGTTGAGTACGATTCTGGAAGTTCAATGTAACAATTTTTTTGATAAATTAGTTGAATTGACTTGGATTAAGTTACCAATAGCGAAGCAAAAAACAGTGTTGATTATGATGCTACAAGCTCAGCGCAAAAAATCAATTAGATGTGGAATGACAGAGTTAAATTTGAGAGCATTTTTAATGGTAAGAATAGATTAAAAGTTTATTTTTTACATTAATCTTGATTTAATGTTACTTTTATCTTATTAAGTCACTTAATACTTTCAGATATACAGAGGAATTTATTCGTATTTTATGGTCCTTCAAAGCTTAAAATAATTATCATTGATTATACGATAACAATTTCAATATCTATGAACTATGAATTAAGTCGTAGACTTAAGGGCCGTTCACTTATTACGTAACGCTTTTAGGGGGAGGGGGTCTAAGATTTTGTTACGGTTCAAACAAAAGAAATTTTTTTCATACAAATTTTGTTACGAGGGAGGAAGGGGGGGGGTCTAAAAAGTCGTTTTTACACTTACGTAATAAGTGAACGGCCCCTTAGATATACTTATAATTTAAGTGATTTCTTTTGTCATATAGTCAATATTTTCGTTTCAAAGTTCATTAACCTTCAATCTAAAGAGTAATTAAATGTGTGATGAGTGATTTTTCAAAATTAAACTATATATAGTTCTAGCTTTTCTCGTTTTTGTTTGTAATGAATATTGTACAACTTAATCACAATGCTTTATTGTGACGCAATAAATAAAAATTTCATACGCAAAAAAGTAAAACTATTCCTTGAATAATGTTTTGGTAATTAAAAAAATTAACCTCAATTATTTTAATTGCTTTCATTGCATTCATTTTCTGGTAAGAACTTATTTTGAATTGTAGTTTCGATGACTTAATAGAAGAGTACAGACTGAAAAATAAAGAATAATGCTGTCCATTGTATCGAAGTTATTTAAAGTTACAGAAGTTTCAACTTCTCCTGAAATTTTTCGTCAAATAGTGGATATTATTAATTGGCAGTTAAAGTTTATCGGATGCCACATATTTTCAACTGATTTCAGTTATGTAAATCTATGGTTATTGGTTTTAATATTGGATTTCATAACTTATTTACCGATCAATATCTACGACGTATATCTTTTTCGTGATGACTTTATTCGCGATATGTTTTGCTTGGTTACTTTAGGAAATGGATTTCAAGGTGGAATAAAACTCTACACTTTTATTATGCAAAGGAATAGTTTATTAAAACTATTTGGGATTGCTGAAGAATTTGGAGTGGACATGAAGAACACGGACTGCTCTGAGAAATTCAAAAAATGGCTGTTAATATCCTGTCACGTCATTTTAGGCTTAACAGCTTTATTCTTGTTCGCAGGTTTACTGATATTCATTTATCCAGCAATTGTGTATATTTTTATAGGCGAGAAAACTTTGCATTTTGGATTCATTTTACCAGCAATTGATCAGGACACAACTATTGGATATTCATTGAATTTTATGCATCAAACATTACAAATTTACATCACAATTACTGCACTTTTTACGTCAATAAATATGACAGTATTTATTATTATCATTGCATTGGCAAAATATGCCTCACTTTATGAATTACTCAATCAATTGAATATTCTTATTACATGGAACGTTCAAGACCAAAAAAAAATCAAAGAAAAATTCACAGAAATAGTTCAAGAACATGTCAAACTGATCGATTATTTGATATTTTTTAACAAAACATTTTCATCGTACTATCTTGTTGAGATATTCAGTCTAGGATTTCAAACCACAGTGACTCTATTTACATGCTCGATTGACATTAATTTTCTACCTGGATATCCAATCTTGATCGTTGATCTCTTTCAAATTTTTGCACCATGCTTGTTGGGAACGCTCCTTGAAGTTCAATGCAATAAATTTTTTGATAATCTCATGAAGATTTCATGGATTCAATTGTCGATGCCGATGCAAAAATTAGTGTTGATTATGATGTTTCAAGTACAACGAAAGAAATCGATACGATGTGGATTGATGGAACTAAATTTAAGAACGTTTCTAATGGTAATGTAAAGAAATTGATTTGGAATTATGTGTGTAGTCTGGAGAAGTGGGGTCGAATTGCTGAATTTAACAAATTTTTGATTATTGACAATTAAATTTGCTTAAATTGCAGCATTATTGAGCGGGTAATCATGTGGGTTTGTGGAAAGTTAAAGTGAACATCAACGTTTATTTAAAATTTCTAGCTAATCAGTAATTCTCTGTTCTTTTTATTATTTTTTTAACAGATATACAGAGGAATTTATTCATATTTTATGGTCCTTCAAAGTATGAAATAAATGTGATTATTGTTGAAACGGAATCAAAATTTATTTTCTATTAGACTATCTAAAAGAAGATATCCTATTTTAACTCGCATTAATTTTGTAATAATTCATATTGTACTGTTTAATCGGAATACTTTATTCTGACGCAATTGTGCGCACCCTTTTCTATTTAGCATCAAGTTACAGCTGCACTAAAATTACAGCTGTAGATTACAGATGAACTTATGTCGTTACCAAGATATATAGATGTGCTCATACAAAAATATCGCAGTTTTTAAACGTCAAAAATTTGAATTTTCTAAAAACACTAACACTATAAAAGAAAATTTTCAATTTTTGTTTTGCAAAATTTTCAACTTTCTGTTAAGTTTTGTTGATACAGGAGTATTGCAAATGCTTTGCTATAATTTAAAGAAACTGACTTAAGACAAATGTTGTTGCATCTGTCGATATTTAAATGAAAACTTGAAAATAGAAAATTTTAAAATTTTTTGTTTGTATAAGTACACAAAAAATAGTATGGTCGAGTATGGTCAAGTATACTCTGTATGAGCTCATCTATATATCTTGGTCGTTACGTAAAAATCAAATTACAGCGCAAATCATTGTGCGCAATAAATAAATGGTTAAAACGTAAAAAAGATCGTTTCATTAAAATAATGTTTTATTCCTCAAAAAAAAAAAAATAACGTTCATTATTTTAATTGTTCTTTTAGAATTCATTTTCCATCCAGACTATATCTGACTTGCAGTTTTGCTAAGTTGATAGAAGTTTGCAGACCATACAAACGGAAACAGAACAATCCTTTACACTTGGATTCATAAAAGCTTATCACTAGTAAGATGCTTTCTGTTGTATCGAAAATATTTAAAGTAACAGAACTGTCAACTTCTCGTGAAATTTACGATCAAATAGTAAATTTCCTTGATTGGTCATTCAAATTTATTGGATGTGGCATTTTATCGACTGATTTTAAATTTACGAATCCATTACTAATGATTTTATTATTGGACTTTGTGACGTACATACCAATCAATATCTACGATGTATATCTATTCCGTGATGACTTTATTCGCGATATGTTCTGCTTGGTTACGTTAGGCAATGGCTTTCAGGGTGGAATTAAACTCTACACATTTATAATGCAAAGGGACAATTTATTAGAGATATTTTCAACAGCTGAAGAGTTTATAGAGGATATGAAGAATAGGGACTGCTCTGAAAAATTCAAAAAATGGCTGATAATATCCTGTCATATCATATTAGGCGTGGTGATTCTGTTCTTACTTGGCGGTGCTTTGGTATTTATCTATCCAGCTGTTGTATACATTTTTATAGGCAAGATAACTTTACACTTTGGATTTATTCTGCCAACAGTCGATCCAGATTCAATTGTTGGTTATTCATTGAACTTGATTCATCACACACTGCAAATTTACATAACAGTTCTGGCCTTATTTACGACTTTAAATATGACGGTGTTTATCATCATTATTGCACTTGCAAAATATGAATCTTTTTATGTTATGCTCAATCAACTTAATGTTCTTATCGCATCCAGAGTTCAAGATCAAAAAAAAATTAAGGAGAAATTTGAGGAAATAATTCAGGAACACGTCAAACTGATTGATTATTTGAAATATTTTAACAAAATATTTTCATCCTACTATCAAGTGGAAATATTCAGCATTGCATTTCAGACAACTGTGACTCTCTTCACTTGCTCGATTGATATTCATTTTCTACCAGGATATCCAATCTTAGTGGTTGATCTTTTTCAAATCTTTGCACCATGTTTGCTAGGCACGATACTTGAACTTCATTGTGACAAATTTTTTAATAAGCTGGCTGAGCTATCATGGATTCATTTACCATTGCCAATGCAAAAATCTGTTTTGATTATGATGCTTCAAGCACAACGTAAGAAATCGATACGATGTGGATTGATGGAATTAAATTTGAGAGCATTTTTGAAGGTAATTTGAAAGTTTTAATCTTTTCCCTGGGACTTTTTGTAGTATCGAGAATATAGTATAAGCATCATTGGTTAATAATCTTTTTTGAATCTATATAATCTGCTATGTTAGTCTCTGAATAATACCTGTCAAATAGCCAAAACTGAAATTAATAACAGGAAAATTCTATTGCAGAATAAGTTGAGAATTGCATGCTTTCTATTAAATTTGAATGCTCTCTTATATAAAAAAAACTTTTGACACTTTAAATTTGAAATTTATAGTTTCAAACTTTAATTTAATTAATTTTCGTATTTCCAGATCTACAAACGAATCTATTCATATTTCATGGTACTTCAAAGTTTAAAATAAATTCACAAAGTAAAAGTTTGTCTAACGATGATACGAGCAATTATTATTGAGCAATCAATGAACCCAACCTTAGAGGGTTCATTTACTTACGATGTATTTTAGCAAACAAGTCGCACTATGTAATAGTTTTGGCTTAATAAATATTAAAGTTATGTATGATTTATCAATAGCAAACCCGAATAGACAAAGAGCACGCTATGAGTGCGCTCAAATTTAGTGCTGAGCATGCTCGCGTGAGCGTGCTCTTTCATACGAAAAGTGATGCCACTACTTTACGCTAATGAGCACGCTTTTTGAGCATGCTCTGAGCACGTTATTTTAACAAATTTTGAGCATGCTCAAATTGTTGTGTGACATGCAACATTTTTTATGTCATATGATGTGACATTTGAGTACACTCAGTGAATGTGCTCGTGAGTGTACTCTGAGCATGCTCACTGAGTGTACTCACATTATTTTATAATTTTCAAAAAAATTAAATTTTGAAATTATTTTTTTGATATATTTTACTATTGTAAGGTTTATAAATGTTCTAGAATAAATTTTGTTCATTAATAATCTGAAAAAGACACTTAAGAAAATTTTGGATTTTACCTGGATTCGAACTCACGACCGCTCTGTTGATAAGACCATTACCATAACCATTAAACCACTGCTGCAATTTACCTTAATAATTTATTATGGCAAAAACTCATATATAAACTATAACAAAGTTAAATACTTCGAAATTGATCTCAAAATGTTTTTAAACAATGTTTATAGTTAAAAAGTAGATAACTATATATAATTCTAGAAACTTTGACTTGTGAAGTATATACAAAATCATGAGCATACTCAGAGTATGCTCAATATATGTGCTCTTGAGCACGCTCAATAAAATGTGAAATCTTAAAAAAAATGTTTTTTTAGAGCACATTCACAATGTGCTCACGAGTATGCTTAAGAGTGAGCATGCTTAAATTTGAGAATTGAGTATGCTCATGAGCATGCTCAATAAAATGTGAAATATTATAAAAATTGTTTTTTTTGTGAGCATATTCACAATGTGCTCACGAGTATGCTTAAGAGTGTACTCAAGTGAGCATGCTTAAGTTTGGTAATTGAGTATGCTCATGAGCATGCTCTCGAGAATGAGTATGCTCTCGAGCATGCTCAATAAAATGAATAATTTAAAAAAATTGATTTTTTTGTGAGCATATTCACAATGTGCTCACGAGTATGCTTAAGAGTGTACTCAAGTGAGCATGCTTAGATTTAGGAATTGAGTATGCTCTCGAGCATGCTCAATAAAATAAAAAATTTCAAAAAATTTGTTTTTTTGTGAGCATATTCACAATGTGCTCACAAGCATGTTCAACTGATTGTGCTCAGGTGAGCACGTTAAATGATGATTTTGAGCATGCTCATTAACGTGCTCACAAAAGTGAGCACGCTCTTTGTCCATTCGGGAAATGATGAGATTCTTTGTTCTTACAACTTAGTTAAACATGTATTTGACTTGAAACAGTAATCTGCTTTTGATTCAGTTCAGATTTATTAATTAATTTATTAATTTCGAAATTTCATGACTTTTATAAATTTTCAATTTTCACGATAATTGATGTTCCACAAGTGCAATCCAAACTCACATTAATTTTAACTTCTTAATAGCAAAGCAATAAGAAAAATCTAAAAGAAGAGCTTCAAAGGTTGATTAATTCTTTAAGATCATACTTAAAGAAAATAAATTACAAAAAAAATAAATGAATTGAGAGCAAAAAGAGCTTTCCATAATTCAATTTGTTGTTTTTATCCTTAGTCTTTGTTCTTGTCGAAATTCAATTTATATTTCATTAAATTTTGTCAAAAAAAAGTTGGCCACATGACGTTATAAACAATTTTTCTTCTCTGTTTCAATATATAAAGCTTTATAAAGGGAAAAAAAATATTTTTTTGATCTCAAACCAGATGTAGTTTTATAGCACGGAAAATAAAAAGAAGACATTCCACTTGAAGGACGATTGCTTTTTCTTTTCTCTGTGCAGTGTGGATTGATTTCTTTTTATTCTCTGTGTGCTGTCTTTTTATGATTTCATTTTCATTTGATTCGCTTCTTCTTATCTTAAATTTGTGTATTTTTTTGAAACTTTATATTGGTGAGATGCTGTAGGAGCTATTGAACGAATGTCTGAGAGCTTTGTTTTTTACATTCTACTTAAAATCTTTCGACGGAATCAATAAATTGTTATTTTTATTAGCACAAGCTGGAAAACTTTTCATCCTTAGAATCCTTTTCTTGAGATCTTGATGAGTTTATAATCAATTTTGGAATAAGGATCTTGATGATAGGATAGCTAAATATATGGGAAATTTGAATTCAGTTTGAGTTTTGTATGGAAGATTTACCTTCGGTTTTGGTAACAACCAAGAGAATATGACAGATTTGCTCCATATCTATAATTGGATTTTTTTGATTCAATGGAATTTTAGATGAAAAATCTAGATCAAATTGATTGGGCTTTCTGGTTCAATTCAAAGATATCACGTTACTAATTCCTCCATTTAATCATTAAACCTTTATCATTATCTTAAAGCTACAAACTTACTGTCGACCACAATTGTGATTTCTTCACACAATCAGAACCTTTTTTAAGCCAACAATTTTTCATATTCCATCAGCAACACCGCGAATATCCATCATATAGCAACCCTAACGATGAATAATGTGCTTGTATCTCAAGTCATTGCCCTCATTCAAGCAACATTCTTCGAAGTTATTTTAAAAAAGGCAAAAAGCAAGAATGAAATTACTTGAAAGCAAAAAGGAAGTGGAATAAAAAAAGAAAACTGCAACATAGCAAATTGCATTTGATGAACGCTATCGATAAAAGCCAATAAAAGTACGCGACAACAACAAATTGCTTAACAAGAAGGAAAAAAAATGTTCTCTTCCTTTAGTTGTTCTGTTGAGCGGGTTGTAAATTTTAAAATATTGCGAGAATCTTGATTTACACTGAATATCATTGTGCATGTGGAATTTGTTGATATAAACTTATGTTACACGACGCAAACTCACCGCAAATAACAAGAATTGAGAGTGAAAATGAAAATTTCACCACAGTTCACATTTCTTTTTGGTTTCGGTCTGTTATGAATCGTTGAGTCAGTTCTTCATCGAACGCTTTAAAGGTTGCAATTGCAATTTTTATTCGGTTATCGTACGGAGTTTATATTTATTGTGAATAAAGGCACAGAAAGGAAAGTTTATTTGTGGAAAATAAAAATAATTCAAATAAAAAAAAAGAGGATTTAAGGATTAACATCAGGAGCTTGAAAAAAGAAAGTTCTCATTTTTCATTCACCGTTGTTGTTATCAGGTGAGTTAAGCCGTAAATTTTATACTACTGCCGTAAACAAAATTACTTCCTTAAACCTCAACGTCAATAAACTTTATTTCGTTGCCCACAATATCAGTCGATCACAGTTAATCTTACTTCCAATGACAAAATTGCTAGATTAGCAAAATTTCACGCTTGACCAAGCAATAAAATCAGAAGGAAGTGAACTGTTCCCCAACTGCAAAGACAACGATCGTGTTGTGTATTTTAGTTCCGCGAAGTAATTATTTTAATTGCTATAAAATTTCGTGTGCTGTATGGAAGGGATTTTTTTTCCATTTCGATTAAAACTTTATTCGTTTTCCACTTCCTTTGTTTTTCCTACAGATAAAAAAAAGCGCAGGGAAAACTTTTTTTATTGCAAAAGTTCATCATCGGATTTTGAATGATGATTCAGTAAATTTTTTCATAAATTTTTCCCAACTTTACAGCACAATAAGGGGGGCAGTCAGGAGGCCATAGTCATATTCTCTAATATGTCATGTACTTACTATAGCCATATACACTAAGGTATAAGATAGAAACCATATTACGCCCCCAAATTCTATAAACTCATAAAGGGAAAATCCAACTCCACCCCTGCAGTATAAAAAATGCGATATGCGATGACTCAAAAGAAATCATATAAATGCGGGTGGGTTAAAAGCGATGCAGTCTGTAATAAAAGAAAAATTGTTCTCCGTTTGGAACCAAAAAGGAAAAAGGAAGAAAATGTGTTGAAAAGTAAAATTTAATTTAATTTATATCAGAAACTTTTGATGATGCCATCATTCATCCTTTATTCTTCTTCTCCTTTGATGATGCACTATGATGAAATTGCTATTCTTATTCTCTACAATGTTGAAAAGTCACTGTGTAAAGACTTGAGCATTGTTTGAATTTCTATGTCAATTTATTTTAAGACAGCAGTTAGTTCTTCAAAGGACTACAATTCATTCGCTTAAAATTATTGCTATTCTTGTTGGGGATGTATTGGATGTTACGTCAATTTCATGTGGTTTGTTCAATCCTTAGATTCTTACTGAATTCTGCAGATCCTAAAGTCTAGTCAAATCTATTTAAACAAAACTGGTTTCAAGCTCAGAAATTCAATTTGAACTTTTTAAACCATTTATTTACTTTAAATTAAAATAAAGTTTCTTAATCAGGTCCTTCGGCAGCTATAGACCTCAACTTTAATATACTTTAGTCAAAACTATTATTTTGTGGTTCATTT